ATCAAATGACCCATAATTACAGCTAATAATAAAATTTAAAAAATATGATCAAAAATTGCATTCTGGCATTTTGACAATGTCACAATAAATAATTGCTTGTTTTAAAGAACATAACATAGAAGAGCGCAAGAAGCAATCAAGTACTGAAAATGACCGTATTGTTCTTAAAATTATCAGAAATTGTATTGTTAAATTAAATCAACTAACTTTATGCTTTATGAAATTAATTTGTTAATTAACTTTAACTAAATTTTTACATTTCAGTTAAAAATTAGGTGAATAAAAAAGGAATTGACAATCAATATAGAAATAAGGCTATTTTAATATGTATGTCAAGTTTTAATTAACTAATTATAATATTACATGTATCTATTTTTAGGTAAACCAGAAATCACAATTACTGGCAATGAAAAAATGTATTTATTAAATCGTACATATGAAATACATTGTAATACAAAAGGATATCCACTTCCAAACGTTTGGTGGCGATGGAAGAAGAGTGACGATCCCAAAAATTTCAGTGAAGTGAATGATAAGGCAGGATGGATCGACGTAGAATTAGGGAAAAATCTACCCAACATAATAAATACGACAATGTTAAAAAATGGAAATATTTTAATTGTTGTTGGAAATCAGTCGGGATATTATCGATGCAAAGCTAATAACGATATGGGAGAAAGTGAAGAAACTATATCTTTTTTCGTTACAGGTGAGGTATATTGTGATGATAATGATGCCTGTATTATTTAAATTAATTAAGTACAAAAAATTTTTATTTATTTTCCTAACTTTATTATAATATCTAATTTTCTTAGAGTTTAAATTTTTCTATTGTCAGTAAAATTATTCCATTTTATTAAGATGATAGTTCCATGAATTACCGATTTGACTTAACTGTCTGGAGATTTGTAGTAACTCTGATATATCGGGGTATACCGAGTATGTTGATAAGGTAATAGGGCAAGGACTTAACAATTGACCAGACAAATAAAACAAAGCAAAATTGTTTAATTTAGCAACAGTAGGATATAGTCAGCTTTGATACATATGTTATAGAGACCGAGTAGTACTGTCACAAAAAACCAAAGAGAGAACAACAAACAAATACTTCCGTGCAACAACACGATTTCGCGTTCTAATTAATTACAAATATTTTTCTCAGTTGCATATTACACACTCTTGCCTTCCTACTCATGACTTTACATGAATGATAATTCTATTTGTTGACTGAAGCCCTCTGATTACAAGTGCGATAAAACACATATCTACTAATTTCTATTAATTAAAAATAAAAATCTCACTAATGTCCTCCGGAAATTCTTGAGCACAATGTGCACATTCTTCGCTGTTGCTCAACAATTTCACAAAGATGAATACGGCTTGCCTCAGACCAGCAGAAACGTTACTTTTTTAACTCCTTCATTCCCAATCAATTTGTAATTAATTATAATTAAACATAAAAAATACTTAAAATGAAAAAACGAAAGAAATGCGTTAATTTTGAAGGAAAAGCTTCAAAGTTTAACTTCCTTTGTCTCGCCTTTCTGTGAAATTTGACACTGGTCATTGTTTACACAGCTGGATGACCTTGAGAACATCTGGTGTTGGATTTCCTGGGACATTCTCATAGACGTCTTGGGGGGGACAAGGGTTTAAAGTAGGGTGAATACTAGCTAGGCCTATATTTTAAAATATTTTTAAAAAATTATAATTTTTATTGCAATTTCTGACCCCCCCTAATTAATTAAACATATATACAGTAGAGCCTCGAAAACTCGGCACTCCGGATAACTCGGCCACACCCTGGCAGGGCAAAAAAAATCCATAGTTAATTAATTTTCATTATAGACAGCTTTATAAAAGTATAAAAGCTCTCATAAAGTATTATTCTGAGGTCTGTCTTATTGGGTAAATTACTGTACACAGCGTATTCATTAATTTTCATCTTCATGTAGTAAAGGTTCTATGCCTTCATAAAGGTCGTACTTTTCCTTTGTTTAAGGGTATTTGGGCAGTTTATTCTCTGTTGTATTCTCAAGTAAACAATACATACAAGTAGAGTACAGTATTTTCTGAGGAAACACTCATACTTATTTTTTTAACGCTCTTCCTGATAACCCGGCATTTTCACAAACCCGGCCACCCTTCGGTCCACATTAGGCCGAGTTTTCGAGGCTCTACTGTATAATAAAATCTATTAATTAAAAAAATTAAAAAACTATTGGAAGTCGTTTTTGACATCAGAAACTAGCTTTAAATAACTTTACGGAAAGAAAATCCGTGCACTACAACTTTGGAACGATGAATGAAATTTGATATCAAACTCCCATTAAAAAACAATTGAAAAGCAGTAAAGCGTGAATCGCGCGTCATTAAAGGTTTTTTAAAATCGCGATAAAATTTTTTCGCGCAGAAAATTTTTTTTAANAGGTCGTTTTTGACATCAGAAAGCAGCTTTAAATAACTTTACCGAAGGAAAATCGGTGCACTACAACTTTAGAACGATTAATTAATTTTGATAAAAAACTCCCATTAAAAAAACATTAAAAAGCAATTAAGCCTTAATTGAGCCTTATCAAAGGCTCATTAAAATCGTGATAAAATTTTTTCGCGTGGGCAAAAAATTTTGAAAAAATTTGGGGACCTACTTTATCGAAGGAAAATCCGTGCACTACAACTTCAGAACAATGAATGAAATTTGATATCAAACTCCCATTAAAAAACTATTAAAAAGCAATTAGTGTGAAGCGTGCATCATTAAAGGTTGATTAAAATCGTGATAAAATTTTTTCGCGTGGGTAAAAATTTTGAAAAAATTTGGAGATTTAAAAAACATTCCAAAAATTGAAAAAAAAAATTTCAAAAATGGCCTTAAGGACTGAGTTTTTTGTAACGCTATGTAAACTTGACGAGTTAACTCGTCAATGGGAATGAAGGTGGTCTCGTACATCCATGTCGACGGTTTGAAGTTTAACTCTCTCCTTAACAGTCTAGAAGGGAGACAGGTAGAAAAAAGGCGATCTGCAGGTGAAAATACCCGAATTTATAACTTCCTCCATTCGGAAGCACATTTTCAGAACGTGGTACACTTTCTGACCAATCAGCAGGTTCCAATTGATTCGCCACAGAAAAGGTGACACCGGGGCACAAAAAAGGAAAACACAAAGTTCCGTTCAAATTTTAAAACCCAACACAAAGTAAAGGAAACATATTTATATATAAAAATACAGAAAAATACAAAATTTATACAACCCATAATAGCATAGCACTACAAGTTATATCTTGAGAGTTAGAATCAGTTAGAATAGTAACGAAAAATACATTATGGTTCTGATTGAAATAATCTGATGAAGGCCTTTCAAGATGGCTAAAAATATTTAAACTATCTGTTTTTACATAAACAAAAACAGCTGTAAATGATACATTAAGGCTTATCATACACCAGCAACCCAAATATTTAAAACATTAAACTTTGATTATCATAAAACACTATAATTTAAAATTATATTTATTATGAATATTAACTAAAATACATTTCAGAATTTGCATTCTCTCTTCAGTTAGAATATTGTTACCTGTAAAACCAATCAATTTTTAAAAAATCATAGCTATGCATTGTTGAAGTAAACTAATATGTTTTAGATCACATTTGGTACATTTTAATTTTTTTTGTTGTTTTCATCAGTCATACAATTAAGAAGTCTTGGTTTGAAAATTAAGTTCCTATAATCTAACAATTTTTTTTAAAATATAAATATTAAAAATTTACATTGTTATTTGATTAATCATAAAAATACTATTTACATTTGTATTCTTCTCAGTTATAATTTTAACTGATACATTTAAAATACTGTATAAGTGTACCTTAGAACACTTGTAAAAATTCTCTGGTTGTTTTTATTTTTAGCATTATATTTTTACATTTTACTTTTATTCTTACAATATTGATGGAACTTGAAATTGTAATCTTCTAATTCTTTAACTATATTGTCATCACTCTCAATGACTTATACATAGTAATCAATATTTATATTCATATCATTTTTTACATTTGTATTTAGATATTTATGCCACTTATAATCAGTTTTCAAGCTGTCATTATCATTGATTTTAGTATTTTCTTTTCATTTAATTATTTCTAAATGTTTGTACAATGTACATTTTATTGTGTTTCTTTTGTTCTTTTATAATTTTCAATAATTTCATAACCTTTGAAATTACAATTTTGAGTTACTGCTGAACTTATTAGGTTTTTTTTTTATTGATTTCATATGTTTCTAAATTTGAATATCTAATTGTCTACCTGTTTCAATTATGTATGTTTTTGGTTCTTTACAACTGCAGTTCAATTTGTAAACTAGTTCTTTCTTCAATTTTTTTTCACATTTTCTGTTATTACTATCCTTTTTTAATTTATTATGTACAAATTTTTAGATGCAAGACAAGGTTTTGAAGTAATTATATCTAATGAAAATCCAGTTGAAATGGATGAAGTTCAGATGACTTGTAAGGCCAGCAGTTACCATTATAAAGAAGTCTTTTGGATTTGGAAATATATGAATAATGAGATTCAACTTGGTACAAATAGCAGTTTAGGTATGTTTATATATATATATATATATATATATATATATATGTAAAAACTGTATATAATATAGTATGTTCTCAATAACTCAAAGTGGAAGCTATAGAGAGAAAGTTTTGAGTTACAGAAATTACCATTATTTTAATTAGTTTTTCTTGTAATTATTTTATTTTTCTAAAAAATATGTGAGACATTCAAATAAAAATGAAAATCAGGCTATAAAACAATAATAAATGTGTTTATTCTAAAGAAGTCTCCACAATCACTGAGACATTTATGTCAAAGTTAAACATGCTGATGAATACTATCCTCAAAGAATTGGGCTGGCTGCTGAGATAACTTGGTTCTCACTGTTTCTTGAACCTCATAATCTGATCCAAATCAACATTCTGTGTTTTTTTAAGAGAGCCAAAAATGTGGAAGTGATTTGTGCTAAGATTGGGGCTATATGCGGGGTATGAGGTTGTACATTATCGTGCAGCAAAGCCAAACCAGATGAGAGATTGCCAGGGTGTTTAGACTTTATGATGGGATGTAATTACTCCAAAGTTTCACAGTGTCTGGTAGTGTTGGTGGTGTCATCATGAGGTAACCATTTCAGGAGTAAAGGACCCTGGTAATTGAAGAAAACAATGAGCAGAACCTTCCTTACATTAATTACCTGCTTTATCTTTCATGGCTGAGGAGAAAATGAATGTTTGATCATCTGGCACATTTCAGATCAAAGTGGTAGCTTCAAGTTTTGTTGCCAGCAATGATATGTGAAAGAAAAATTTTCCTCATGGTGATATTGCAGTGGATGTTCCAAAGGTAGGCCCTTCCGATTGTTCTTGTGAGAGACATTTGGAAACCTAAGTGGTACAAACTTTGTGGCACAAATATGAATGCAAGATGTCATGCACGGTTCCAACACTTGCGTTCAATTTTTCTGCAATACTTTGCAGCACGTCTATCAATATGCTCCTATTGCATCATCCACAATAGACACATTTATAGAAGTGATACTCTTGTTTGCCTGTCCCAGATAGGGAAGATTTTCTGTGCTTGCTTGACCGCTATTGAAATGTACAAACCAACAAAACACTGTTGCTTTCTATAAACATTCTTCGCCATACACTGTTAGCATGCGCTGATAATATCTGCAGTCAGATCTCCTTAACTTGTCAAAAATTGAGTTATGGCACACTGGGTCCTTTTGGTTAAATACGTAATAATTACAAAGAAGGCTCAAATCAACCCTTTCCACATGAGAACTTTATCTAACAACTACACCTTACAATTGTCTGAGCTTATCTGTTCCTGATATGAGCAAAGCTGGTGGTGTACAAAAAGTGCTGCCAGAATTTAGGGTAAATTCTCACTTTTATTTGAATGCCCCTTATATATTGAAAATAGAAGTTTTCTTGTATTCAGGGTAATCTTATAATTGGACTAATATAATTTTAAATAAAACAAAATAGCATTAATATATTTTATTAATTTTTTTCTTTCAGATTTGGAAGTTATTCATGAAAGCACAGTTTATTCTGAAGTAGAAATTCTAAACTTCAATGCTATAACTTTTCAAAATAATGGCACTTACATATGTATTGCTGCTCCAAGAAATAAAACTTTTATGAATGAAACAAAAGTTATTCATTTGGAAGTAAGAGGTAAGAAATAGTAATTTAGTAAATTACTCAATTACATGAAACATTTTCAGTTATCATTTATTCATTTTGCTATATTTATTTACTTTATCACATAGTATAATTGTTTTGAAGAGTAGATAATATGTGCTTATCTGATTTATAATTATATATTAAAATTTCCAAATTTATTCTCTACAGGTCATATATAAGTAGAAAATTATATACAGTAGAACCTCGATTATCCGGACTAATTGGGGATGAAGGTAGTCCGGATAAGGAAAAATCCGGATAATCGAAACAAATACTTTAATTTGTCTTTTATTGATAATACAACACGTTTTCTTTTCGATGACATATCGGTAACATTAAAAGTAAATACTGTATTTAAATCGTGATCAAATTTTCAAGAAACAAACGTTCGTATTGAATTTGGACTACTACTGACCAACGCTAACAGACTACCTATTGTTTAAAAGGCCCTCTGGTGGCGCAAGAAGACGGATTTTATAAAATAAAAAGCAGTTGAAACTGCATTTTTATGAATAAAAATTTGACAAACTATTTATCGTTTTATGACGAGTAAAATTTTTTCGTCGCGTTCGCGGCTTTTAAGTAATGCATAAACCTTCGAGGCGCGAGGCCCTTCGGACCGCGAGGCATAGGCGGTGGCCCACGTCGTCCATGCCTTACGCCGCCCTTGGTCATAGAAATGATGTAATTTGAATATAAATTATTTATAAATACGTATGTCGAGTTATATTTTTATCACTACGTAAAATATATTTAAGAGTTTACGACCACTGTGCTGGGTGAGACGTTGTTGAAACAAAAAAGTTACGCATTCAATCACGTACATAAACAGTGTCGTAATTCGCCAAGTGCAAATCACCAAAATTCGTAAAATTTTTGTTTATTTTGAACAATCCGGATAATCGAAAATCCGGATAATAAAGGTCCGGATAATGGAGGTTCTACTGTATATGGTAGTATAAAACTATAGAAAATACTATTAGAAGTAAGAATGTTTAATTAGGAAATGAATGATAATTTAGCAGTTACAGATTATACATTACATTATTCTTGTTATTTCAGTATTTTTTTGTGTGAACAGTCCTACTATAATTGAATATAAATTGAGAAATAAATGTAATTTGCTGCAAAAAGAAAAGGCTTTCTTGACTAGGATATTATGGAAGCAATTATGAATGACCTTCCAATTACTTTTTTAGTCTCTTTATACTTAGTCATAAATAACTCACTATTAATTGATTTCAAGAACCATCAACAATGAGATCCATTGTTGGAAATTAGATAAAATCCAAAGAAGACTTTGCTTGTAGAACAATCTTTTTTGTTTAAAACTTCCTTTTAAATCCTTATAAAATTCAAATCATGTAGCAGACAAACTTCATTGGTTGATAACTAACATTCTCTCTGAAAATTGTTTTTGCTTTTATTTTCCTAAATCTAGGCTCAACATTTTAACATTTTGGACTTTCTAACACGTGTACAAAGTTGATATTAGAGTTTGGGGATTTAAGAAGCTGTTTTTATTTCTTTAGAAATTTTTATTTAGAAATGTATATATTTTGTATATTGCTTTCACAACATAATACAGGTAATGATTGTGGGATGCTGACAGGGGGAGAATATGATTATTGATCCCCGGTAGGATGGATGAGCAGTGTGAGTGAGTATGTAGGAGTGTGGACAGTGAAACAAGTTTCCTTCAAAGCTTTAACCTGTTTAATGTAATGTTGAAATGTTAAAACCCAAAATGTTAAATTGAATATTTATAATAATACTGTAATCTAAAATCACTTGTAAATGTTTCTAAGTGTGGATTTGTATGTCTCTTGATGTGTGAGATGGATATCCGGGCAGCATTGGTCTCGATGTGGAATTTGGATGGGATGAATTAGGCGAGCTGGAGAAAGTCCTGTGTGATCTCTGTTGAGATGATGAAGCAGAAACAAAGGCACAAAATAAAAGCTTAGAACTCTGACTTTAAACAGTTACAGAAGAAAGGCAGACTGAAACAGTTCAAGTGAAAGACTGGTGGGAGAAAAGCCCAGTATTCTGGATTCTGCAGTTTTTGCAGGATTTTAGCAGATTAATAGAGTTCTGATTAGTTTAAAACTTCCTTCTTTTCTTCCCAATTGGCCGCCACTCTGTTTTTAGGTGTAACAGCTCTCAGATTAATGGCACGAGAAAGGCCAATTGTTCAAATACAATTTGATATCTCATTTTGATTCCATATGAGAATTGTTTATTGAACTGTAGCCTTTTTTGTCACATTTTAAAGCTATTGTGTTTTGATATTATGACAATAAAGAATTCTGTTATGACTTTCTCCCTTCCATTAATTAAAATGAAATGGGAAAGTAAAATAGACTTTTGATTTATTTATCATAAGTTTATTTTACTTTCCCATTTCATTGTATTTATGACAGCCTGTTGTTTGCTTCCCCAAGTAGCACCTGTAAATTTTCATTGTTTGCACTTGTGAATATAACAAAAATTAAAACTATTCTTTTAATTTTTATGTACATTTTCAGGGTTTTGGATCCAATCTGAAATCTCACACAATGTAATGTTATATATATATATATAACATTACATTGTGTGAGATTTCAGATTGGATATATATACTACACTGGAAAATATTCCAAAAAAATAAAAGAAAACATGCCTTTTTAATTCTAGCAATATATTTTTAATAGAGTAAAAATGTTTTTGACCTCGATTAATAGATCTTCCTCAGGTATGGTGTCTCATCATACACTTTATTTGAATAATTCAAATTTAATTTGAATTATTTAAATATGTAATTTTTACATGTTCTGGTTGAGTAATTTGGGTTAAGGGTGGTAGCACTTCAAACTGTACGGGATGCTGCAAGAAAAAAATGATCAAGTTGAGGGTGCCACTATTAGAAAAAGCTTGAAAAATACTGTTATAATGAATGCTTTTAGAAGGTAAACAAAACATAACATTACAAAGTCAAGTTAGAATTTAAACATATATAATTATTTTAATTTTCAAAATTGAGTTTATAGCAATTAAATGAGTAAGAGTTCATTCTCTACTGTATTATAATTAAGTTATCTGTTTTAAATGTCAGCAGGTTTGCTCATCAAAAATTGTTTTGAGAAGTTTATCTTTTGTTGAACAGAGTATAAATTTATAATAAAAGTCAAAGTAAACATGAAAAAGTTACATAGAAGATGATTTTAAGAGCTAATATTTTAGTATATTTGCTATTTGAAGAGCTTAGCTGTTTGGAGTCGAAATGAATTTAAGATGAAAACACAGCTGATGTGATTCGAAGCAGGAATGATTATTTTTATCAGATGTGGAGTATTTGTATATAAAGTAATTGTTATTAATGTTGTCATTGTTGATTTTACTAAGAAAGTTGCACACAGACTATACATATTCTATGGCATAAATTCCATAGTGGATTACTTATCTCTTATTGTAAAGAATTAACTTGTTGTAAAATCAACAGTTGATTTGTAAATATTCTTAGATAATCATTACATAGAAAGGTGGAATTATAGTCAAATGCTGTTATGTTGTTGATTTATGTAAAGTCTGTGTTATGAGTTTGGTTAATATGTAATACAAAGTGTATTGAGTTTTTACAGAGTGTGTAAGGAGCAAATGGAGAAAAATCAACAGAAATTCTAATTTTAAATATAATTCTAATAACTTATGAAGCACTAAGGCTTGCTAGGATGTCTATGCATTTGTAGCTAGAACTATTTTAAGATGACCAAGACAAAACCCTTCTCACCTGGTTTTGTCTTGGTCATCTTACTAGGATGTGTTGATGATTTACAAAAAAAGTTGGCTAATCAGATAAATAGTCTATTACAGGCATACCTCGACTTACGTCGTTTCGACTTACGTCGTTCCTGATTATACGTCGTTTGTCAAAAAAGTATATGGAAAAATAAAAATCGAGTTTAAGTCATTTTATTCGACTTTACGTCCGTCCGCCACAAATATTGAAGTCGTAATATCACTAGAAAAACGTTTAAAGCACATAAAATCATATTAAAATATATACGAGTATATGTTCTGTATTTACAGTACACGCATTCGTAAATTTAGAATACTTTTTTCTGTACTATATTAAAAACTAAAATTTATTTGTTTGTAAGCTTAAAATAGATCCTTATTAACCATATATTATTAAAAATGCATTAATAAATAAAATACAGAAAAGGGAATAATAATTAATGGTTTAGCCTAGTGACAAGTAGATTCGGAGAAGTAAATTCGACTTACGTCGTTTTTCGACTTACGTCGTTTTCCTGGAACCAATTAACGATGTAAGGCGAGGTATACCTGTACATGCACAAATACATTTTAATTCTCTTAATGAATTAGTAATAAAAATTCAGTTATTTTTGTGTGTTTTACACAAATGAAGATTAACTGTTTATGACTGAATATAGTATAGTTTAAAAAGCATAATATTTTCTACATATTAACAAGCATATAAAATGAATATTTTCAGTTTGAATAAAGAATGCTATATGTCAGGCTTATAATGGCATGTGATCTACTTTGATGAATCAAAAGACTAATGATCTGCCATCACATTTTTTTTCTTCTATAAAATAGTGTTATAACAGTGGATTAACAAAATGTTGCAAAACATAGATTTACTTATTTGGTGGTAATTGATGATAAATGTCAATTACCACCCAATGGTGAGCTCTTTCTAGTGAACACACTAAGGTAAAAACTAAACAGCATCATTTATCATTTACCATAAAAAATCATTTTATTTCCATTCATTATACAAATCGTAAGGTTCTCTTCTCTTTGGCATGTATGCTTTGCACATAACTGAAATTTTTTACGAAATAACAAAATAGTTTCTAAATAACAACATAGCATAAATATGATTGTCAATGTAAATAGCATGTTCTGCTTTCTTATGTTTCTCATTCTGTGCACTTTTCATTGTGCTGCAATCGGAAACAAAGATGACCAAATGTTCTCGATAGCACAGCAGCGACAATATATAGTGATAGTTAAGTGATTTCATAGTGGAAAATATAGAATTTATATTGCTATATCTGGAAATTATAAATTGTTTGCATTTCAACAAGAAGTATTTATCCATAATTGTCCAAAAACAATGTCATATGCAACCTTCTGGCTATGCCTGTTATACGAAATCCTGATTGGAACACTGAATAGCAATAGTTTAGAACTAAGTTATGAGATATAACATCAAATTTTTATTCATAAGTTAAGTTTAACTAAAAAAAGTATGATTAAACGTTAGTAAATTTGTAAGAATACATATTCTATTTTATGTAAATGAATCTACCTATATTTCAACCTTGTGTAATTGCTGATTATTAAGATTATCATGAATTTATTCTTTCTGAAACTGATACAATGCTTGTTCCCTATTATTTGGTACTGAATTAGTCTGAATAGAAATAATTAAAGATTAGTTACGAACACGGTATTTTCTAAGTTTCTTGTTTCGGTGTGGTCGTGTACTAATGTTGGAAATACCATCCGCTATTTCTTTCAGTGTGCGTAGTATTTTAGATGACATGTAAATTTATAACTGTATAAATTTTGTATAAATAATTATTTAACTTACAGAACGGCAAACATCACAGATAACATCTTCATCAAATTCAATCCCTTCTCTTTTTTTGGCATTTTGAAGATTATCAAAACTCTGAAAATTAGATATTTCTTCAATAGTTGATATTTTAATTCAAATCAATTTAATTTTTTTAATTACATAAAATATATTTATTAACACAATGAAGAATCATATACATATTGATGTAATAAGAACTCATTGCATNTATTGCAAAAATTGAAAATTATATTATTTTTTCAGGTATCGAGAAGCCGTCATTCGTAAAAACAAACATGAATAAAACAATGATATCGGTTCCGAATACAATGCATTATGAATTTCTTTGCTACGTGGAAGGTGTTCCGTTTCCAAAAATTACTTGGTATAAAGACGGAGACGTATTTGACGATTCAAATATATCGGGAGTTGAATTGACCGATAATTTTCAAAAGCTTACCATAAACAGAGTGGTGGAAAGAGATGCTGGCACGTATCGTTGTGAGGCCGAAAATAAAGGAGGAATTATATTTGAAGAAAGTACATTACACGTTAAAAAAGGTTTAGATTTTATCTTGAAATTAAGATGATATAATACTTTTAACTTAATTCTTAGAAATTTAACATTTTAATGAAAATTCTATTAATTTTTTTTAGAAGAACTTCGTTTATCTCAGAAGATGACTATTACTGAGCTCTCTATCATAATTTTTGTTATAATACTCGTTTTAGTTTTATTTTTTTTGACTTTCATGTTAATAAAGAAAGTTTGCAGAGAAAAGGTAAATAATTATTTTAGATACTTCAGTTTTATATTATGTATGGCATTTGACTTAGATTCATTATATTTATTTTATAAGAAAAATTCTAGTTTATTAAACGTTGTAAATGCTGTTTGACTGGAATTTTCAGTTATAATATTCATAGTATTCAATTTAAAACTATTTATTTTCTATTTTTTTTATAATCAATAGTGTCAATTCAGACTTAAGAAACATGATATTACTAATAAAAAATTTAATGAATTGCCCATTTATTATGATTAGATGTACCATAATTTTTTCAATATAAAAATGGGATGAAAGTTCACAAGAAATCCTAATAAAAAGAAATAAAGTTAACAGATAACATTTAAAAAATTTAATTTTATTAAAAAAAATTAGCAAAAATAATAAATAATGTAGCCAATAATAATAAAGTAGCCAAGGGTGGGAGAGCCACATGTGATGAATACAGGCTTTCTTATTAAAATTTTGTCAAGAAATGTAGATGAACATTATTGACAAATTATTAGCACATTATTAATGATATTTATTTGGTAACATAAGAAAAGAATATATAAATTTTTCTAAAAGTTTTTGGTTTTGAAAATATAATAAAAATATCACTTTTTCATTATTAGGATATGATATCAGATTTAATAGGTTGGTGCAGAAGATTCTTAGAGCCAAGCTAAGCATGATTTTCAGCTAAACTTATTTTGTTTAAGTTCTGGTTGATTGCAGTTTTATCATAAAATCGACTGTGAAGTTTCCATTCAACCCAATGGCAGGAAACTATAATTTAAGAATCATTAGCATTGTAAATTGGAAGTGTGCAGTTTACAAAGCAGACAAAAAAAAATGCAGTAGATATGTTTCCTTAAAATAGTTTATCTGAAAATCATGCTTCCTGCTTTGTTTCCTAAAAAATCAACTAATTTTATCAAATTCTTAAAATCTTGGAATTTGAGATCCTTTTCATTCATTTCATTAAATATTTTGATCCATTCATCAGCTAAATTGATTTTTTTCTTCTTCCAATTTCTTCAAGTATTTGGTCATTATTTTCTTTATTAGTACCCATTGGTCAAATTATCAAATTTCATCTGTTTGTGTAATGTGTTCCTTAAGTTCATTGAACTATTCTGTAATCTATATTTTATTCCATTTCTTCCTTAACAGTAGCTATTTAAATTTATGTCCCTGTTGATGCATAATAAACATTTTCTAAACAAATACTAATTCAAACTTCATGCCAATTAGATATAATATTAGATACATACTGTCAGATGGTGTTATTATCTTTTTTTATAACACAAGTACTTTCGGCAATACTAAATCATCGTCATTGGGCTAACAAATGTTTTGAATTTGGAACATTACTGCACATATTTGGAATGAATTACTACACATAGTGATGTTCTGTTCCAGATTTGAAACATTCATTAGCTTGATAACAATGATTTTGTATCATTGAAAGTACTTGCATTATATAAAAAAAAAAAGATTTTAATGCCATCTGACAGTGTGTGTATCTAGTATTTTCTAACAACCATAAGTTTGGAATACAATATACAAATGTGTTTAATATACAAACTAGAGAACTAACAGTAAGATTTTTGGTTTTCAAAAAATGGGACAAAAGTGAAAACTTTACTAAAATGACCAGATGGCTGGGACAACAAAATAAAAGTACAGTACTGTCCCATTCAAATTGCTTCTTATCATCAGTCTAAACCAGTGGTTCTTAACTAGTGTTCCACAAACTTGTTTCAAGTGCGCTGTGAAATTATGAAAGTGCCAGACTATTTCATACACATTATGAATATGATTTATTGTTTGTATGGTGTTATATCCTTTCTGAAACTCATAAAGCATATGCCCAATATGCTTTTTATTCGAAGACATTTAGACTTGATTTTATTCAAACAAAATGTGAAGTAAAAATGTTAAAACACCCTTCTAAACAAAGAATACAATTTCACATTAGCAACAAAATGTTAAATTGTACAGCTGTTATAATTAAATCACACATCTATGTTAAGTAACGACAGCTGTTAAAAATACTGTAAATTTTCCATTCAACCCAATGGCAGGAAACTATAATTTAAGAATCATTAGCATTGTAAATTGGAAGTGTGCGGTTTACAAAGCAGACAAAAAAAATGCAGTAGATATGTTTCCTTTGCTTCATAATAAAATTGTCCAGGGAATTATTTTTGTTAAAACAGAACACTTAACACTATTGGAAGTTTCTTCTTCCTTCAATATAGAAAATTACAACTGGATATGAAATCTATTTGGCACAATTGATACTTTGAGTTGTGAATTTTTGTTACAAGAAGAGCAATTTGTTACCTTGTCAATGGATTGTAGTTTAAAAATGAAATTCTCTAAAATAAGTCTTGAAGATTTTAGGATTTTTGTTCAAGCCGAAAATCCAGCCCTCTCCATGAAGGAACTAAAAATTTTGTTAGTTTTCAACAACATATTTGTGTGAGCTCGGTTTCTCAACGTTGATCAACATAAAAAATAAAAAACGTGAAAGACTAACTAATATACCTGTCCTCATTTTTCTTCTATATCACATATTAGACCTAATATTGCTGAAATCTGCAGAAGCCAACAAGCTCAGATATTGCATTAAAATTCATTTTAAAAACTTCCATTTTTATAAGTTACTTTATTTACCATTTTTACAAATGTAATATATTTTTTAAATTAATACTTTTTTTTTACTGTTATGTAATCTCTAATCTATAATTTTTAATAAAAAGATATGTTCATGCTTATTATTGTTGTTATTTTATGACCTTAGTGATTTTGGCGTTCTGCAAAGTTTTTTATATTCAAAATGCCTCTGTGACTTCAAAAAGGTTAAGAACCATTGGCCTAAACATTACACATTAATTAAACATTTTTTTTGGAATAATTTGCATCTCTCAAAGGAGTTAGTCCAGTTTTTTTTTCTCTCTTTCTCTCTCTCACTGTTATCTTTTGTAAACTCTTTATGGTCCTTTATAAATTTTTATAATTGTTACAAATACAATTTTAGAAAATTTCTTATTTATAATTTGCTATATTTCTTTAGATTTGAACATATTTTATAAATCCAGTAACCAACACCTTATTAGTTGCTGAGGGAGTTTATTAAAAATGAACATTTTTAATAAATGCCCTCAGCAACTAATAAAACAATAATTTATATATTTTATAAATTATTGTTTTTAAGAAGGTTTTTGTAATGGTGTTCTCCCAAATGTCAGTTCTAACTAGTTGAGTGACCTGATAAAGATTTCATTTGACTAATGAAAACAAAAATATTTTATTTATTTTGTTTGAAGATAATTGGACTATGGGTTAGTATGCTGTTGTTTTAGTATGTCCATAAACACAGCATGTCAGATATGCTTCAAGATCACCCAATCAAAGCTTGAAGACAATATTAACACTAGCAGATATTCCTGTTTTATTTTCTTTTGCATAACTTCCTGACACAAAGGTAGATTGATAGGTGGCCAAAAACATCAGAACCCTCTCTCAACCTTCCATGCTAGAGAGATTTCAGCTTTCTAAAGAAGTGTGAAATTTATAACCACACTGTTACCAACATGTGTGTTAACAGCAGAGATGAGAACATCATACCTTCTGTCTAGCAATATCTCCTTAGTCTTTTGCATAAACTGCTGCAGTCACAGTCCACTTTCACTGCCTGCTTTCACTGCTTGTTTAGTCTATCTCATTTTCTTTTATTCTTCATACTGGGATTATCATACAAACAACTTTTCATACATTTCCAGCATTCACCTAATACTTCAAACAAACATTTTCAGCCACATTTTGGTCCAAAATGCAAATCCTTTGTAAAAAATAGAAAATAAAAATCCAATTTTTCCATCAAGAGGCATGTTCCTATGAGATAAGTTTTCAATAGCAATTTTATGCTTGGTCCAAGGAACATACAATTTTCAGAACCAATTTACAAGCCTGCCTCAGGTTAGAAACAGTCCAAACATGGCTTCAATTACTCTTAATTTTTATGTATTGAATATTTTTCTTAACAATTTGGCATCTTCCCAACACTGGGACACCCTGAGCTCACTTGCGTATTGGACTAAGGCAGTGTTATAGTAGCCTTTAAGGATGTCATACACTCTTCTCTAACTGCACTTACAAATAAATAAATTGCATTTTAAAGGTTTTTAAGGTTTGGCTTTTTATTATGGCAATTTTTTTTGATTCTTTCCCGATGAAGGTCAGTTAACTGACCAAAAATGTTAGTTGCTGTAATAAAAAGACTTTACTGTATTTTAAAGGTTTATTTATAGGATGTCATATTTATGCTCTTTCAATCTGGCTTCTATTGATCTGTTAGCTGAGCCTATATACATTAGGCATATTATGTGTTCTGAGTATTTTGTTTTCAGAGACGCCTATTTCTGGGTTTAGATAGTGTACTTTGGTTTTAGATAGTGTACTGTGGTTTTTTCAGAGTGATCTAGTACTAGTTTCAAACCATAATTATTGCTAATAATAGTTTGCAACAGATTTTCTATGTTTGGTTTTGATTTCCAAATTACAGTAGAGCGTCATTTATCCGAAAGAATTCCAGTCGGCAAATTTAAATTTTAGCTAGTGCTGTGGCACTGCAATCTTTGGCTATATCTTGGGCTACTCCAATATTTTACGTTTTTGATACTATATTAACTTCTGAAGTATAATTTTTTATTGTTTTTATATTTTTCAATATATTGATTTTGTTTGTACAAAATAAAAAAATAATTTTTAACGATACAATAGTCTTCGTTAGGCTTAACATCAACGAAAATTCAACGCAAAGCGACACGCAATGGAGAAAAATTTCAACACTGGATAGGTTAATATATTTTTTCGTACATAATCGGTTATCCGAAAAATAAGTTATCCAAACAACCCCAGTCCCCAATTGATTTGGATAAACGACGCTTTACTGTATTAAATTATTGTCAATGTATCTTGTGTATAAATAGATGTTGCACAGGAATTTTTTGTAACTTTACTATTATTTTACATAAATCCACTAACTACCATTTCAGACTAAAATTTTAAAATTAATTACTGACTTAGCTAAAAGTTTAAAAATAAGTCAGATAAGGAAACAAAACAAAAAAAACAGATGGCAAATATGTCAGATTTGAATTTGACACTAAGTTATACAAAATATATTCTAGAATAGTAAGATATACAAATAGATAAAGTGTTTAAAAGAACTCTAACAATATTCAGGTTAAATTAATTACAAATCTACTAATGTGAGGTAGATAATAAGGACTTTCATACCAGTGATAATAACCACAAACAACCAGGTATCATTAGAGTACATTTAATAAAACAAAAAGGAGCATACATTAAAATTAATTTCATGAGTAATTAACATGAAATAACCAATTTTGAATTAATTTAATTATACCAAGGGCTAAAAAGCAATTTCTTTATATTAATATTCAGGTTGTTAACCAATGAAAAAGATCATATAAATGAGAAAAACCCCTTGGACATACACCATACCTCTAGAAGATTCTACATTCAGTGTATACCTAACATATATAGACTCAACTAACAGATTGATAGAGGCCAGGTTGAAGGAGCATAAGTATGATGTCCTTAAAGGTTATTATAACACTGCCTTAGCCTAATATGGAAGCGAGCCCAGGGTGTCTCAATGTTGGGAGATGCCAAATATTCTATACACAAAAATTAAGAGTAATTGAAGCCACCGACCTATACGAAGCAGCAAGTCAAGGGCTTTGCATTAACAGAAAAAGCATCAACATATAGCAAGTGCGGCAAGTATTACTCTCTGAACATACTTATATCAGACAGCAATTTTTCATTAACAATCCACTTCCATATGCTTAATATTTATTATAAGTTATTTTATATTATCAAAAATTAATTTTATTATTAAAATTACCTTCTTCACAATACTGGGATGAATCACAAACACACTTAAAAGGTTATTTAATTTTTATTTCAATTTATAAACGTTGAATTACAATGTAAGAATTTTAACTAACATCATTGCATCTTTGAATTATTCCACTTTAGAATACAACATAACTCCTTTGTATTTGGATGGCATCTAATCTGAAGCAGGCTTGTGAACTAGGTTGAAAATGTTTGTTCAAACTATTAAGTGAATGATAAAAATGTATGAAAAGTGTAATAAAATATTTTAACTGGGACTGTTTCAGCTAAAATATTTTATTAAATGTATAATTTTTAAAGTCTCCAGGTGGAACCTTTCTTAATATTTTACACGTTGAGGCTGGGAATAGTAGCCTCTAATGGAAGGTCACCTCCACCGGTGAAATTATTTTTTGATGGTGTTCAAAGAGACAATGAAAGAGAACATTCATACAGTTAGTAGAGAGAGAGATTCATTTGTGAATTTTGGTATGAGTATGAAAAGTATTTAAAGTATGAAAAGTGTGTCTGTATAATTTTACCAAAAAATTCCAGCTTTTAGTAGACAGTTTAATTTGACATAATGGTATTCTACTTTCAATTGTTTATGCTTGAAAAATAGATCTTTAACTGGGTTAAAACATTTGTTAAAGATGCATTGATTAATTCAGATGAGTAACTACAGTGGCTAGCTTATTTTTACGAATCCATATTACATAGTGATTAAAAGAATATTTTAATATCTAAACCTATTAAGCATTGCAGGTCATTGAGATTAGTTGCTATAAATATTCTTGTAATTATCTTTTTAAAACTACAAGTAAATTAAAAACTTTGTATGAAAACATGATTGTTTAATATTAGGTTTTAAATTTAAGCTTTAAGAAATAATGTTAAAAATAGTAAGAATTTTTTATTTCCAGAAAGAAAAAAAAGAAATGGAATTCTTAAGTAAAGTATTGTTTGATAAAGGCCAAATAGAAATGTTTAATCCTGAAATGTCTTTAGAAGATCAAGTTGAATTATTGCCTTATGATCACAGATGGGAATTTCCCAAAGAGCGTTTAAAATTAGGTATGTTATATCTACTGTATTATAAACAAAAACCATACAAAGAAAATCCAAAGTTGTTTTTTATATTTATGTTTATTTATTTCTGCTGTTACCAAGTAATAAATAACTGAAACCGGGGAATCACTTGGCATTGATAAATATGTTTAATCTTCACTAATCACCAAAAAAAAACCACTAAAATTTTGAAGAAGTAATCATTCATGCTTAGGAACCATGAATTTACAAAATTAATTGGGACCGATGGTAAGAGATACAATGGATGGGTTCCCAAGTACCGACGAACAAAGAACTAGTCCATCTTAGGTCTAATTTAACTAATCTATACAAGTAACTGGGCCCAAAGCTAAGGGGAAGATATTAAGAATCATAGGATTATTAAAGTTTCTAGAGAAGGAAATGGTTCAAAGGGGTGACTGGTGATAAATAAAAAAAAAACCTCAGATTGTTCTGTCGTAACTTCCTTCTATACTAGTCAACATGTATGTCTCCTTTCGGCTCTCTTCTAAAGAATAAATCCTCTCTTTTTTCGAATCTTGCACAGTCCACTGCCAGTACCCTTTTTGACCAATCAGGTGTCAAACTTTTTGTTCTCTAAACAGATCAGACACTGTGTCACCCAATCACGGTGTGGTCACAGGACAAAAGCCGGAAGTAAAGTCTCATAGTAGGAAGATGGTATAAGGAGAAAAAAAAGAACAACAAGGCTCAATCAAGCCACACTAGTATTATTAAAATGTTCATAAATACAAAGTTCTTATAATAGTAGGATAAATATGTGCCATGAACCAATTTTTCTTCTTGAAAATATAATATTGATGATGAAGTCTTCCAGATTGACTTTATATAATGCAGTTACTAAGATGCTAAAGATACCTTAATTCATCTAAGGTTTTGCCAAATCACAGTTATTTTTGTTTGGCAGTATTACTAGTATTGGCACTTGTAGGCAAAGTGTATTCTATTATGTGTTTACTGCTTATGCTTGCCAGTACAGATTTGCTAGTATGGACAACATTGGTTGTGATTAAGAACATATGTAATAGAGTGAAGTATCAGAGGTTAGGTCTGTCAAGAGTTTATATGGAGCTTGGAGTTCCTACACCTGAATGCCATACAAACTCTTTGCCTCTTCTTCATGGACCTCTTCACCCATTTTGTTTTTTTTTTTGAACAAATGAAATATATAGAATGTTTCTTTATTAATAATGAAACACAGTTAAAGATTTTATTTTCTGTTAGTAAAAGTAGTAATAATTTTATAGAGGAAGAATCATTACGAGCTGGGCACTTAAGTTTTCTTCAGCTTTTAACCCTTTCATCAGCCCTGCCAGAGGTAATAGCAGCCAGCTTAGTCTCAATATTCCTAATATTTTTATATTTGATGGAGTGGAAATTTGATTTTTAATTGTGTGATATTTATAGATAATTTTATTAAATATTAAAATTTTAGTAAGAGTCTAAACCATAGAGAGCAGAAATAAAATTAATTTCTGTTCTCAACATCTTGCTTGAAATTTTACCAAATACAGATTGTGTTTTAATCAAATGCATGTTTTTTTAAGTTATTTGATTACTTTTTATTTTAATTAAAAGGTATCAAAGCATTACTATATTCCAAAAACTTGCAACCATGACCATTGAATAATTCCTCAATTAGCAATTGATCTGAAATATTATATCAAACCATGTTGAAATGTATAAAGAACAAACTAACTTTCTTCTTTACATATTAGATTGAAAGAGAAAATTGGATAATACTGTTGAATCTTACATTGTAGAGATGCACCTGAAAGATTTGTTATTCTGACATAATTGTTTTTCATTGCATATCCTTCTCCATTAAATAGATTAAAAATGTTATATTTAACAATCATAGTCCAGAGAAATCTATTATGTGATTTAAATAATATTTTAATGGTCTTGGATTACAACTGGAAATATTTACAATCAAGCATTTTAGACTTCATTTATTTTAACATATTTTTAATAAAAATTCAATATTTAAAAAACCAATGTAGTCAGATAATCAGTCTGTACTTANTATTCAGTAATATATTAAGAGAATTTCTTATTAATTCTCCTTTGTATTTACTTTTTATGTACGCTGTAATTAATTTATAAAGTGTAACTGCAAATTTTGCAAAAGATCAAGTATTATTAATAAAAATTCAATATTTAAAAAACCAATGTAGTCAGATAATCAGTCTGTACTTATTTGTACTATTAACTAGTACATGGAAAAATAATTCTGTAAAGTAATAATGGTGTAAAATGATAAAAAAAAATTTTTTCTTTCAAAGTTAACCTGTTTTGTTTTTGCTTTTTTTATACCAGTCCTTATTCTGTTTTGAGTAAATGGATTAGTGACTTGCAATTTTTTAGCCTCCATAAGTCAGAAAGGATAGGAGAATTATTTTTCTGTGTACTAGTTAATAGTACAGATAAGTAAAGACTAAAATATTTTTATTTTGTAATTATATTTAATAATAATAATATAATAATAATAATAATAATAATAATAATAATTTAAATTTACACAAGGAAAGACCTTAGGACAAGGTGCCTTTGGAAGAGTAGTGAAAGCAGAAGCAATAGGAATTGAAGATGGTGAAACATCTACTACTGTTGCTGTGAAAATGCTTAAAGGTAATTAATGTTTAATTACATTTGTAAAATAATAAATCTTGATAATTAATATTTTCACTTGTATTGTGACATAAAAAAATTATTGAAAACAGACTTGATCTGAAATTGAACAAAATAGTATAGCTGGTTTGATTATTTCTAAATATAACTTATACCATTCAATAAACTAAATAATGATTAGTAAAACCTATAAATGTTTATTTTTTTTCAAAAACTTGCGATAAAATAATATGAAATTATTTGATTTGATTTTAAAATCCAAATAGTATGATAGTGCATTTCAGAGCTCTTTTTCAGCTGGACCATGCTGATGTGCCACACTTGCAGATAGCATTAAAAAAGTATTTATAACCATTGTACATAGCACTACATAACTGCAGTACGTAGTACTTGCGGGTGTTTAGTAAAAATAATACTATATGTTCAGTCATCTTATATATATAGTGACAGTAATTTTTTTAGAAAGAGCATTTATGTGTCATAACAAAAAATATAAATTGAAGGAAAATTCAAAAATATAAATTTTCTTAGATTGAATTTTGAAAAAATGTATAGTATACCTGCTATAGTTATTTATTTTTTCATTTTTTTACATTTCTTTGTTTTTAAGTTGTAATTTGCTCCTCTTAGGTTTATATATTTACAATATTGTCAATGAACAAAAATATTGGAGAATAAACAATGTATTTTTCTATTTATATTAAATTTGCAATAGCTGAAAAATAGTATTTATTTTACATAGTTAAAAGTGGATTATTGTTCAAATAGTAAAAGGATAGAAATTTATAGTAAACTGCAATGATATTTTCAGGTGGTTCAAAAATAAGATTCCAGAATTTTTTCTACTTCTTCTAGAATGAATGAATCACTTGTTGGGAATCAAAAGCCAAGACAATACATTAATTGATGGATGTTGGTAATTTTCAATGTAATGTAAATATTGATTGAGAAAACAAATGAAAAATTGCATTTTAGTTGGCTACTGCTTTTGGCAGATTAAACAAAATAAGTGAATGACAAATTTGTTCAAAATACATTAATTGGTAAAAATGTTAACACTCAGATAAATTTGTCCGATTACTGCAAAACTCCAGCGGTTCCCGAACTTTATTCTCTAAATTCAGATTTTTCCAAGGTGCACTTTGTCAAATTCTAACAAGTACAATTTGTGAAATAGTGAAAATTAAGTAAAATTTTACTTAAAATTTTAAATTAAGTAAAATTATAAAACTTTTGTAACATTTCGTGGCGCCCCTTTGAGGAAGCCGCAGCGCCATGATGCACACTTTGGGAACCGCTGCTGTATACAACTATCTTGGATGTTATGTGAATGGTTACATATTGCATGTTGGTGTTTGATCCAGCAAGTGCCTTCACACTTGCCAATAAATCCACTATTGTCTCCACCTCTTTGCCAATAAATTAGCAAAAAAAAAAAAAGATGTAAGTGTATTAACAAACTAAAGTGGTACTTCATACTTTAAACAACTCTAAATTCAAACACTTCTGAATTTGAATGCTAAATTTGATAAAAATTTCCCTTGGATTTTGAGTGATGCTTCAGAGTTTGAACTTTCTTTGTGGTTTGTTTGGTTATATATATTGTTTTTTTTAATCAATTTTTAACAATTTCTTCCTGCAATTTTTCTTTTTTGACATATTTTGAATGCTTTATATTGTACATTGTTTATTCTTTAGTTCAAAATTTCTTAAACGAAACTTTTTAAACCACATCTGCATATTCAAATCTTAGGAGCATCTTCCCCATACTAATTACAAATTTTTTTTTCTCTGTGTATGGCATTATATTTTTTCTGAAATTTATGAAGAGTAGCATGCCGAATATGCTTTTTATCTGAAGACGTTTTGACTCAATTTTATTTAAACAAAATATGAAGTAAAAAGTTTAAAATCAGCTTCTGAACAGAGAATACAATCTCTCATTAGCAATAATGTGTAGCAATTATCAGTAATGTCTTCGGATAAAAAGCATATCGGGCATATTAGGCTTCAAAAGGATATAATGCTATTCAAACACTGTACAATTGTAATATGTATGGTAAGAATGCTCGTAAACTTCAAACATATCAAATTCGGTTTAAAAAGTTTTCTTTGGAAAGTTTTGAATTAAAGGATATAAAGATATACAGGGTGCCTAAAAGCTGTCAACAAAGAAAGATTGCAGGAAGAAATTATTAAAAATTGATGAATAATACAATACAATATACAGTAATACCTTGACTTACGCTACCGTGACTTACACGAACCCGAAGTTACGCAATTTTCAAATCTCATTGATTTGTCTTTTGTTTGAGCGCCACGCAACTATTGATTACTCATTTCCCCCACACTATTGTTTAGCTTACATGTTCGGACGTGTCGCGCAGAATTGACACATTGCTACAATTTATTTTGTGTTATTTATTCCTGTATTTGTTATATCTATGGAGACTTGAGAGACTCTATGTGGTGATTTTTTGTAACAATGAACGAATCAAAAGACGAGATAAGATTAATGAGAACATTAGCTTACATACATCCAACTTGGATTTTACACAAATTGCAAAATTATACACCGACTTATGCGAATTCGACTTACGCGGTTATTGCTCAGTCCCACCTATCGCATAAGTTCAGGGTATTACTGTATAACCAAACACATCAAAAATAAAGCATTGAAAACATACAAGCATAATGCAAGAGGGAGAGTGAGAGATGACTAGGACACACAAATGATTGCATTTATGCTTCGAAAGCATTTTTTCACTACAGGCACAGTTTGAACTTCGAAGCATTGTTCAAACTCTGAAGAGGATTTTTGTGAAATTTTGCATTTGAACTCTGAAGTGTTCAAAGTTAGATTCGTTCAAAGTAAGAGGTACCACTGTAAATTGTTTCATATGAATGTCCTGCATTTTCATTGAAAAATTCCCCAGTTTTTATTAGCATGTTCCCCAAGGAGATTTTCTTCAGTTGGCACCCCTAGTTATAATGAGGGTACTTCATGGCTATAACAAGCAATATTTTGGTGCAAACACACTAACATTCTTAATTGTTCAAGTAATAAGAAATGCAATACTGAATTCTTGAAAGAGATAAAACTGAAAGGGTTAAACATATGTAAAATATTTGAAGCATATCTGAATAAATAATCAATTAATTTCACATAAATTATGATGTAAATATCCTCCGTAATTTAAATTATTCTATATGCAAATTCCTATCATTGGAATCTAGTTCAAAAATGGAACACCATACTGTGGAAAGCGTGTCCATTTCCTAGAGGTATATTAACAATTACCCAGTTTTTAAAATATATTGTATGGATTACAGGATTTATCACCTAACTTTCTTTTCGGAGATCATATCCCTTTTTCTTGACTAACTTCTGACCATACTCTGCCAATTTACCTTATCATCACTACTATTGTAAAATTACTGTATACTTTAGCTAGAAACAAACCCTTATACGAGAAAAATTTCTATGAAGAAAATAAAACATCTCTTGGTTTCTGATAAAGTAGAAATTATTCATGAGTTAAAACGTGGTGCTAAACATGTCAAAGTGTTTATAAAGTTTTCTTTGTCATTTTCAACAGTATCGACATTATTGAAAAATAAAGCAATATAAATTTTAAGATTTGTAGATGAAAAAGACTAATTGAAATCGGACATTATATTAATTAGTATTATCTTTAATTATGAACAAATAAATTGTTAAATATTAATTAGATTGTAGTTATATTGTATTTTTATTAATAAAATATGTAATTTCATTATATAACTTATCTTTTTTTAAAAAAAAGTAGATTTCACTAATTATCAGTGGTGTAGCTACAAATTTTTCAGTCTGTGGGGCATACCTATGTGTTTGTGCCCAAAGCAGTTGCTCATTCTGCCCTTAGTTACATTGCTGCTCTTCATGGATATATGAGGAAATCTTGCCAGTCCCCTAATGCTCATTATAACGAAGTTTGAATATAGTTCATTCAGCTTATTTTGTCTATGCTAACTTTATCTAATGATGTCATAGTTTTTGTCTTGTATTATTTACAAGATGGCTGCTTGTGTTAAACTAAAAAAAAAAAAATATATATATATATATAGGATAATNAGTATTATATATAATGGTCATAAAATTATTATAATTATGATAATTTATTTTATCATAAGAATATGATGATTACATCATTTGCCAGTTTTACACTCTATCAGTTTATCTTGCTAACTCAGTGTACATCATTAAAGGATACACAAAACACTTTTTAGCTCTAATCCCTTAGCCAATTAGATTTCTTACTTAGCATTCTGCATTACAGAATTTGGCCCTGCAGTGTGTGACTGTTGGCTCTGTCCAATTTGCTATATACCATTGGATTGTGGAGTTTGAAGTTTCTAGAATATCAGTAATTACAAATAAAAGTAATAATTTTCTTTTGGATATGTCTCTTAAAATTAGACAATAAAAGCTGTTTTAAACTAGTGTATGATAAACTTTACAGATTGTATTTAACTACAAACGATTGCACATACAGTTGGGCGTCAGCATTGCAAAATCTGTTGGATCGACTTGGTTTTTCCTTTCTATGGCTATCTCGGGATCCTCATTTGATCGAATGTTATCAATTATTAATTATAAAACTGTGCTGTGAACTAAGTATACAAGGAGATTGGTCTCTGTTAGGAAAGAATAAGCACTTTCAATTATATTTCAGCATTAAAACGACATTTATGTGTGAAGATTTATTGCTTATGGACATAAATTATTATGTTAAATGATTAATCCTTCATTTGAGATGCGGTCAAAATCATATCTTAATGTATTAGGTTGTTCGGAAAGTAATTTCGTTTTTTTTACCACTAGACGGATTAGTCGTATTTTTCCTGCCATTTTTATTCTAAACAGTATTATCATTATATATTTTGACAGCTAGCATTTTAAGGCTTATTTATAAAAAATTTTGTTTGATTTTGTGCTATTGTTTATTTTTTGTGTCTCATCAAATATGGAAGATTGAAAGCAGCATTTTCGACATATTTTACTTTTTTGTTACCAAAAAAATAAAAATGCCATTCAAGCAAGAAAAAAATCATGTGACATGTATAGTGGAGATGTGTTGACAGAATGACAGTGCCAAAACTGGTTTACAAAATTTTGTTCTTGCAATTTCAGTATTGAAGATGCACTATGTTATGGATGGCCAATTGAAGCCAATGAAAACAAAATAAAAGGTATCGATTGAAGCAAACTGCCGAATAACAACACTTGAAATCACTAAGAGATTAAATTTGTCAAATTGAACTGTTTATGATTTCTTGAAACAAATTGGTTTCATTTCAAAGCTCGATATATGAGTTCCACATGTTCTTAAAGAGAGATGCTCTCTTTGGTGGGATTTTAAGGAAATTTTTTCTTTGGGGCTTTTACCAGACAATTTAACAATTGATTCAAAAGTGTACTGCCATAGAGTAAACAAATCGAGTAATATCATCAAACAGAACAGGTGTCCAGAATTGATAGACAAAACAGGTGTAGTGTTTTATCACGATAATGTCAAATTTCACACAAGTTTGGTAACTTGTCAGAAACTGTTATAACTTAGATGGGACCTGCTATCACACTGATCATATTCACCAGACTGAGCGCACTCAGATTATTACTTGTTCCGGTCTATACAAATTTTTTTTAACTGTAAGATATTTACTTGAAATGACAATGTCAAAAATCACTTGGATCAGTTTTTTGTATGCAACGATCAAAACTTTTATGAATGTGAAATCATGTTACTACCAGAAATGATGACAACAAATATTTGACCAAAATGGTTGATAAATAATTCAACAAAAGATTTATTTATTATAAAAATATTGTGTTTTTTTTCCACGGTAAAAAAACGAAATTATTTTCCAAACAACCCAATATAATAGCAGACTAACATTAGATCCTGAAAAAATATGTAGTAACTGTATTATACAAGTATATGAAACTTGGGAACAATGTATTTCTTCATTGTGTAAAATTTAGAGATAATAGGGACAAGTATTTATTAAGGTTTAAGGCTTGGAAAGATATTATTAATACATCACACTTTACAAAAACTGATTATTACTTGATATTTTACTTTGTGTTATTTTGTACTAAATTATGAACTTGTTAAATATTATTATATTACTTTATTGATTTTGTTTTTGTAACAAAATGAACTATGTATAATGAACTAAGGTTCATACAATAAGGAATTGACTGATTGATATATACCCTTGGAGTATTCTATTCTATTATCTTCTTAATGATTGCTGATTTATGATAGTTTCGTGACTGTGCTGCTGTGATTTCTTTTACTATGGACTCTCTGAATCACAACCTATAGCTTTGAACTGATTCACTCTCCTCATTGATGAGAACAATTGACAAGGAAATGGCCAATGATCAAACCTGGCATGTAGATCAATTGTCAAACTTTTTGTCATTTTTCAGATAAAATTTGAGGTAGTGTAATGTGTCTCTCCCTCTCTCTTATCTGAATGGCTTTTTAAATGGACAGATGAATTGTCTTTTTCCTGAACTCAGTTATCTACTTTTATGACCTTTCCAATTGTGCCATCTGAATTAAATTGTGAGGTTTGATCTAACTCTTTGCAACATGATATCAAGATGTGACAGGAAGTCACCAGCTAATGCCATCAGAGTAGCTTAAAATTGATACTTCAGTATCACGTAAACAGGTTGCTGAGGCTCACTGTGTTCAGAATTTTCAGTGTGTCTGTTGTTTAGTCTTTGAATGCTGGACATGCCTGATGATACAGTCAAAGACATTATACACAGTTAACAAAGTTGAGAAAAGTCATATCATTGAGCTAGGAAAGTAGGATGGCTGTTTTCCTGAATTGCTCACCATCTGGGTTGTTCTGTTTCAGTATTGAATATAGTGGAGAGACAACATAGCCTCTAGTAAAACCTCTGGTCTCTTTGTCTCCTTTAATCATGTGTCCTCACCTACCCTTTCCTAATGACCAAATTGGATCCACCCTCCAATATTTTTATTTGGAAAGATTTTTCCATATTTCCTTTCCACATACCATAGTGATCTGTCCTTGCAATGAAACGACGAAATTTACTTACAAGGAGCCGAAGAGCCCATTTTGTTAGGGGTTTGAGCCCCATTGCTACAGCAATGTCTTCTCCCTCCTTTCCAGGGCTGGATATATGAGAACACACATACAGTACATGCAGACCAGGGTCTGGATACTCCAGACAGACCACCAGGAGAGATGATTGTTTGATAATGAGATGAAAAAAAACAGCAACAGTGTCTTTGTCTACCATCCAAAAAAATTTCAAGTCTTTCTACAGAACTCTGTTTCTGAAATTAGTGTCCTTAATAAATCTCTAGTTTCAAATCATTCACTTCATTGACTTTTTCTGTATTTACATTAAAAATAACAAATATATCCATTTTGTATATAAAATAGTAATTACTTATTGTGTTTGTTTTAATTGTTTTTAATTTTATCATTACTTTTAATATATTTGAAGACACAATTCAGTTCTAATGTATTCATATAAGAACTGAATAACAACATTTTGTAATACAATGGAAATCATATTCTATGATGCGATGCATAAGAACATCTAGTATTGTGAGATATGATAGTGTTACCATTAGCCCACTAAGACAAACAGACAACAAAGCATACATGCTATAGATATGGAAAAAGGAATTAATTTATTTATGCCTGATTTTTCTGTAACAGGTACATTAGTGGATTCCAATTCTAGGCCAATTGCAATTACACTGGCAGTAACCCAAAATCTGATTGTCAGAGGAACAATTACAAAACTTTCTCTATCCAAGCACGACAGACTAAATCATGGTATTTCTAAATTATATGATACAAAAAAAAATTGTTACAAAATTAATATCCTTACAACTAATCGTTACGACTAAACTTACAACTAATATGAAAACTGATGACGGGATGAGAAATAGAAAAAATGGAAGATAAGCAAGAACAAAGGTACCTGGGTCCTTCAGACATCCATTGATTTCCATTGTCTTCTGTTGTCTTGAGAGGCTGTGTGGAATTTCTTATAAAAATGACCATACTATGTTCCTTTTCGCTTTCTGTTCTTGATGTCAATTATCACCAAGATGTTGGTTACTTAGCAGGAAATTGTAAATGGTCAAGTTTGATCCAGGACCACTTGCTCACCACTGGTTATGGGAGAAACAAAATTCTTCTCCCACTTAGAGTCTGACTCAGGAAATGAAACTTGGCATAGTCAATGCCAATATACCTCACACTTTGTCCCAGGAATTTCAAAGATTCCTTTATTAAGTTACGATTTAACCCATATACTTGGGTAACGAACGGTTCCACACTCGTGTCTTCCATTCTTCTCTCTTTGAGTACCAGTTCAAAAATGACCTTATCTTCACCACTTTTCCCTCAGTTAACTTTAACTCCTCAAACTGGTTTGTCAAAGAAGTGACTCATACATCCAATAAAGGAAGAATTCATGGGATTAGAAAGTTCCAGAAGAAGAAAGAACAAAACCAATGAAATAATACAAAAATAACAAAAACAAACTATAGTATATAGCCATAGTATAAATTAATTTAAAGACTGTTCTTTATTCAAATTACAGTAGAGCATCGATTATCTGACCCCTGATTAACCGTCACATCAGTTAACCGACCATTTTAGTCGTCAAATTCAAATGTCCGCTAGTGATGTGGCACTACAATATTTGGCTATGTCTTGGCTACTTTATTATTATTATTTTTTAATTTTTGCGTGTTTAGGTGACAACAACGGCTCGACCATTGAAGGGAGGCCAGTATTTAAACGAGACTTAATTTTCTAATTATGAGTGGTGGTTTGTTTTATGAGCAATAAAATAATTCAAAAATAATTTTTAATGATACAATAGCGACGATTATTATTTTTTAAAAAATTTGTTAGGCTAAACATTGATGAAAATTGAACGCGAAGTTGGTTAATAGTGATATACTAATATACTAATTACATGGGATATACTAATATACTATACTAATAAGATATTTTTTCATTCTTTTCGGTTATCTGAGTCCCCAATTGAGTCAGATAATCGATGCTCTACTGTATATTAATTAATGATGATTGAAAGATGAAGTAAATATCTTGAGAAACATTTGATCATAAATCTTTGTGTCCCTTAAAAAATTAGCATTTAGTTAATCATCTTAATATTGTATTATTTAATGAAATTATTTGAACGTTACAGAAAGAGCTGATGTCCATCAAAGAAAAGCACTCATGGCAGAATTGAAAATATTAATTCATCTAGGGCGTCACTTGAACATAGTCAACCTTCTTGGAGCAGTGACTAAAAATGTCATTAAAGGTATTGAAGCATTTTTGAAAATTTCACATTTTAATAATTGATAATGTATCATAATATATTTTCAGGAGAGCTCATGGTTATTGTTGAATATTGCTGTTATGGTAATCTCAGGCATTACCTTCTTCAAAAACAAAATAATTTTATTAATCAACTAGATCCTACAACAGATACAGTTGATCCCACAGCAAATAGTCTACCTGGTTCACCTGGAATTGAAAATATTGAAAAACTAGCTGCAGTTTACGAAAGTGCTTTTTCGTCAGGAATGATAAACTCAAATCAAAGGTAATTATAACAATTTAAGAATACTACACAAAATCTTGATATTTTCAAAAATGTTAAAAATAGGATATATATTATATTGTTTCAGTTAAAATTGAATTTATTGTTTGGGACCGTCCATAAATTACATAAGGGCGATTTCGGCCATTCTAGACTCCCACCCACCCCTGTGTAAGAAACCGTAATATTTTCTTTGATCTCCCCTCCCTTTCCCTATCTTACATAATATTTTGGCATGATTTTATACAAAGATTCCTAAAAATCTTAGGTTCAAAATATAGTTAATTAATATGTACTATTATTTATAAAAGACTTTATGTGAACAAATTTAAAAATATAAAAATTTAATGAATTCGAATGAACAATTTATTTTAAGAATTTTATTTTTCAATTATTAACAATATTATTATTATTATTATTAATCAACATCATAATTTTTATTTTTATATTAATTTTAATTTTCACAAAAGACACAAAAAACTTTGCCAGATCGACTAGCTAGTCCACGTGTAAACAGAAACGTCATACAAAAGAGAGAATAGTCATAAAACAAGAGAGAATAGAGAGAAACCACATTCCGTTGCCATATTGATTACATCTTGTCTAAGGCCAAGAAAATAAACTACACGCTGCTAAAATGCACTAGGTGCATCTAGAGACTAAATAATAAAGCTTATAAAACTATATAATGGGGCAATACAACCAATGCTATTTTACGCAGCCTCTGGCTGTGTTCATGTAACTAGTAAAAATTCAGTAGCAAGTAAATTACTCTCTCTTCAAAGCCAGTTTGCCATCAGAATTTCAAAGTGCTGCAGAACTGTTTTTACTAATGCCTCTCTGATACTAGCAGAGCTCCTTCCTTTGCCACCATGTATTGTAGAAAAGGTTCTAAACTACTACATCAGAACTACAAACATCAGGGCTTAACAACGGTCTCTACACCTATCTACAGCTGTTCATATGTTACGACATTGCAATTACTCTACTATCTCTGATCATCATCCTGTAAACAAGGTTATTTGGTGTCATCTGTTTCCTCCATGGATAATCATGCAGACATTAATATCTACAGAGATGGGTCCAAAAGCTCCCTTCTTGTCGGCTCAAGTATCTGTATCTTCCTCCAAATAGATGGAGGTATGTAGAAGGTACAGATACCTCCCACATACCTCCATCTATCAAGCTGAAGAAGATGCTGACTATCAAGCTGTTCAGTGGGCCACTTCACTACCAAACAAAACTCTGTCTATCAACATTTACAGTGATTCTCAGTCTGTCCTAAAAGCTCTATTAAATTCCAATTGCAATAGCGATAAAATCGAATATATCCAGCACCATATTAAAAATCATGTAAATAAGATATTATATTTGTTCCTGGCTATACTGGAAATGAAAAAGCCGACTTTGAGGCTAAGTCAGCTGCAAAGGACACTCACTGATTTGGACTACACTCGCATCCCTCTCTCACGTAGCAGCCTTAAAAATTATATTCATGACAATGCTATGCAAAAGTGGAAAAATGAGAGAGAAACCACCACATAGCCTTTCTCCCATGACAAAAAATATGTAGAGCATGAATCTGCTAGCATTCCCCGCATTTCTTTATGCAGTGAGAATGTAGCGAAATGACGTCATGAGCGGTGTTTGCCAATTAGAAACCAGTTTCAGTGTGTTCGCTGTAAAGTGCTTCTCGAGCGCTGAATAAAGAAATGTGGCCATTATTACTCTATCATGTCACACGAGACAACGAGCATTCTTAATAGAAACTGCCAAATTTAAGCCAAATTCAAAACGCCATCAAAAAATAAAAATAAGAATATTACGTAAGATGAGATCTATTACCCCCCTACTCGAGTAAGAAATCGTAAGAAATCCTTGACCCCCCCAAAATACCTTACGTAATTTATGGACGGCCCCTTTCTTGTAATTTATATAAATAAAACTTTGCAATTTCCAATTATTTATCTCTTGTTCATTATTCTGTATTTATTTTTTAACTTTCTTAAAATTGAATTGTAATACTTTTCAGTGTTTGTTGGTTACATAAATCATTAAAAGTTTAAGACATTTTCTGGCCAAAAATAGTCTCAGTTAGATCATCTTGCCTATTTACCTGATTTAGCTCCCTGTGATTTCTGGCTATTTCCAAAATTAAGAGCTGCACCAAAAGGATGAAGATTTTTTAATATAACTGATATCCAACAGAATGTGAGACTACTGCTCTACAGTATTCTGGAAAATGAATTCTAGGCCTGCATCCAGAAATGAGAACTCCATTTAAGTCAGTGTATAGATGCACAATGAGAGTACTTTGAAGATGACAGTAGCCACTAGTGTACAGTTCCACATGTATATTTTTTAAAGGTGTCTTCAGGAAATTAAATTGTCACCTTGTATTCACTAAAGTGATCTTGTCACCATAGTAAATATGTGCAATTGGGGATAGAACAAATTGACAAAAAAATAGAAAAAAAAATTGTTAATTTCTACAATAGGCCAAAAGGGAACTAGTGAACCGAATGAATCAGACACTTGTGGGAGATGATCCGCTGTTCTCGGGTGAACAAAACAAAGACAACAAACCAAATGTAACAGTACAGGGATTTATTCTGCCGAAGCTAGTACAGCATGTCAGGGATTTTTCCCGTAACACATTACAATCTCAACATTACAATTAATAGACCTCCTTCATTAGAGATATACACAGAACATAAACCACGTATCCCAGCAGACAATACTTTCCTTCTGAACCTTTCTTCACTATTTACAGTACTATCTTCCACTGCTGTTCATAGTTCACGACGATCGCCTTTCCACTCCGGCTTTTCACTCCACTCTTGGTTACGGCTTCCATACACACCAGAATCCACGATCCTACTCCTTTTGACCAACTCACTACCAACCACCTTCACTTTCCTTTTTCCCCTAGGACTCGTCACTGAGCCAAACATTCTTTCATGGCTGGGGGAACATGTTAGGCGTAAGGCACAAATATATAAAACAAAAATGCTTAATTCAGGAAACGAAAATTTATGTTTAGAGAAACAATTTTTTCTTTTAAAGAATTACATTAGCTCCAGAGGTAATTTAAAGCATTTTGTTTTATATATTTACTATATTCACTATTTTTAAAGAAAAAAAAATGGAAAATTATTTATATTTAATTACTGAATCATACAATGAAAAACTTAACATGATTGATTTTTTTTTTTTTAACATTCAGAAATCAATCTATCCAATATGTACAAATTTTACATCGACAAAGAAGTTATCAAAATGAATCGGATTCTTCAGGAACAATGAAAACGATTACGACTAAAGTATCAGAAAGTGGTTCTGGAGATACAAATCAAGTTGGAATTATTGTGAGTGGCTCAGAATGTAGAGATACTGCAGATATAATTAGTCAGCCGGTAACAACTTGTGACTTATTGTGCTTTGCATTTCAAGCAGCTCGAGGAATGGAATATCTCTCATCCAAAAAGGTAATAGAATGAATTATTTTTTAAAAATTTTTTCATTCAAGAATTAATGGTATTTGTTTATATACAGGGTGTATCAGAATGACATTTTAAAAATTTGGGGGATTGTAGAGGATGAAATTTTGAACATTTTGATATAAGGAACCTATAGCCAGAAATTTGAACTAAAATGTCTACAACACTTTGCACGTTCTATGCGGTCGGTATGCCGAATGAAACAGCAGAATAGAGTATTTATGACAAGTTTTATTGACAAAACAGTAGAGTACAATCTAACTGTACATTGAATCAGTTGTTGCACTACTCTAGAGTAAATGTTCAATGTGATGATCACCAACTTCGTTACATAATGTGTCCAACTCTCTGTAAGATGCCACGCTCCCCTCTGATGGCATTAAATGCTGTAAAGATGCAAGGGGTGACCTGAAGGATGACAAGCACTAACAAGGGAACTGTCGGAATGTCTTCTAATAAATTTTAATAAAATTTAGTTAATAACTACGTTAAAAGTATACAAACTCTATTTTAAATTTGTAGCATTCACTAAAAGTGTTGATCAGAGTTATTAGCAATCAAATGTCACACTACTTTATAGTAGTTTAGCACAATTACGCAAATTTTTAGAAGTGAAAGGGTCGCGGAGGAAGACTGCGATATTACATTTAGAATAAATTCTGGAATTTTCAAAAATGGTTGAAGAATTAATAAAATTTTGTATACTTTTAACATAATTATTAACTAAATTTTATTAATTCTTCTCNCAGTAAAAGTAGTTAAGCAGTAAAACTGGTAGAATAACAAGACTTTATTTTCCTAGTGTTGAATGCAGGTTCTCATCACTACTTAGAGATTTAACGTTTGCTACTGCTCAACTACTTACTGAGCATGGTAATTTTAGAAGCTACCAAGCGATGTATAACCGGGCAGAAACTGCTCCTTGCTTTTGTGTATAGAAAACCTAGACACCGTCGACCATATGATCTATCATTGTCCAATTTACGATCAACATACACTTATTCTGAGATTAGAAATTTTTACGCTTGGTTTCGGGTGGCCACGTCCACTCGATAAGCTTGTTCAGAAACCACTATTTCTTGCTTTTTACAATGATGTTAAAAAATATGGAAGAAAAGACTATTTATAATTTCTGGTTTTACATTTTAGTTTTCACTGAAAGCCGAATACTAATTTTATGTTTACTTTGTATCATGCATTTTGGTTTATGTATTCTTAGTGTTATACAACCCAAAGGAGTGGTGCACTTATTCTAATAAAAAACAAGAGAGAGAAACCACTGCACGGCCTTTCTCCCATGACAGAAAATGTGTAGAGCGTAAATCTGTTAGCGTTATTACTCTATCACGTCACACGAGACAACCAGCGTTCTTAATCGAAACTGCCAAATTGAAGCCAAATTCAAAATGCTACAACTCAACGAGATCAAAAAATAAAAATAAGAATATTACGTAAGACGAGATCTATTACCCCCCTACCCCTGAGTAAGAAATAGTAAGGAATCCTTTACCCCCACCCACCCCAAAACACCTTACGTAATTTATGGACGGCCCCTTACTATAGTTTTTTTTCAATGTACTACTTAGCTTTAATTTGAGTGTGTTTTTCGTGTTGGAACGAATTATTTGGTTTTACATATAATCGTATGGGAAAAAATGATTCACCTTACGACATTTTCATGATACAATCTCAGTTTCGGAACAGATTAATTTCGTATCCTGAGGTACCACTGTATATGATTATGAACTTAAGTTTAAATAGTACATATCTAATTGTTTATTTAATAAAGATATGCATCATAATTCCCTTTAGAATTTTCGTATATTATGCCAATTCCACTATGAATTGTTCCATTTAAGAGTTTCATAGTCCAAGTAATTAAAGTAACTGCAGACATATGGAGATATTCAAATCTTTCCAGATGTCTGTATATATCATTAACTAATACAAGTCTATAATCGGAATACTCATATAATTTATAAAGGTGACTTAGTGCTACATTATCGTGATGAGGCACAATATAATTTTTACTTTTTTTGCCCTGTTGGCACTAAGAGGACTTTTTTTTAGCAAGCCCACAATGGGGCGGCCGGGTGATGAGGGCTCTGTCATATCCGGACGGACTAGCCCCGAAAGATTCCTGGAGATTTTCCGATCCCAGGTTCCCCAGAGAAGTAGCCTGCTATCATGACCGCTCGGCCATCCGGCTTATAACTGAATACCTGTTAAGATCTAATAGAGCTTAACAGTTTTGGCTTTCAGTTATTATTACAAACAAAGTAAATGTGTAAAGCAGCTCAGAGTTAGCATAAGCTTTGACGTCATGTGACGTCAATGATATTTAAAAACAAAATTAAATACTTAAAATACTTGAATATTTAGCAACATACTTAAAATAGTATGTTGCTAAATATTCAAAAATTTCTAAATCCAAAAAAAGTGGAACATCCACATCAGCAGTGTATCAATTCAAGTGGTGGTGTTTCTCATAACTTGCTACTTGTCATATTTAAAATACAAGTCTTGAGAAAATCCACAATATTGCCACCTACAAGCATGGTGTAGACCAGCAGTTGCCAACATTTCTGACCTTATGGATCACTAAATTCATGATTTTGAATCCCATGGACCACTATCATGAATTTTTTAAATGATGATACAAACATCTATAGAATAATAATCATGAAAGTTTCATTTTACTTTATATGAAATTCATTTGCTTAATTACAACAAATTAGTGTGAGGTTCTTTGAAATAATTTTATGGATTCTTAGCTCTTTTTCATGAAGGATGACAATGCACTCACAACATTATTTATTGTTTATTAGTTATTAATTTATTGACATTTCGTGTTTGGTTTTAGATTCTAATAGAAAAACCCAACAAGTGAGAAAAAGCAACCAAGCATTTTGAATTTCTTTCGTAATACTTTCTGTAATCTCAAATTGATTGATGCCAAAATCACTCCACTGATCACCAAAATTTTCTCGCGGACCGTCAGTGGTCCACGGACCACCTTCTGGCAACCACCAGTTTATATAAGTTTATCAAATAATGTTGATTTATTGGTGTGTTGACACATTTTTAAGTAAACATCTGAATTGGATGAATTGTTCTGGGATATACAGTATTGTATAAAGATGACATCCGGGATATGGTAATAAAGCAGCTATATTGTGGTATGATTTCATTATAGTTAGTTCAAATGCAACTGAACTGAAATCATCACAGGGAAGTGATAATATTGAAAGATGTATTCTAAGCTGGATGAGTTGAAAAGCATTTTGAATGCTTTCACAAAGTGAATTTGGTTGAGTCCCTCACAATCATGCTTAATTGAAATAAGGAATGGGAGTATCTATCCATAAATAATTTCTTCTGCATCCTGAGACAAGTTAATTTTCGAGAGACTTGTGAATTTCCGCAATGTTATTTAATGAGACTTGTGAAACTCCGCAATGAAGTTGCAAGGTTTCTGGACAAGAAAAATGACCACGCGGAATTACTACTAGACAAGTTGTTCTGAAACTTGTGTATTTCATAGAATATTTCAAAATTAAACGAATTGAATCTATACTTACATGAAAGAAAATAATTCAGTAATTCAGTATTTTCACCAAAAAAAAAAACCTCAAGGTTTCACCAAAAATTTTTGAGAGGAACAATGGAAGCTGGTAGAACCACACAGCTGTTTTGAAACTTTAGGTGGTTTAATTTCATCGAAAATGATGTGAAACCACCTAATGGCACTTGAAAGCATTGAAAGAAACTTTTGATTTTTTTACTTCCCTAAAGAAGTGAAAACCTTTCTTTTTTTAACTGTTCGATCTATGGGTACTAAGAGGGCCTCTCTTTAATAACCCCATTATGGTTCGGTCATGCTCAGAATGGAGTGGGAGAATAGAGGTACAGGACCCAACATATTTGGACAGACTACATCGAAAAATTCTAGGGATTTTTAACCCATCCAGATTAGACCACATGCCCCCATAGTAGTAGGTTGCCACCCTAACCATTAGGTCATCTAGCCTTCACGTCGATGAAAACCTCTCAAAAGAACAGGGTTACAAATTCATTTTAACGCAACATGATTTTAACGCAACTGAAATGTAGATAGTCACAAAAAATCTCGTCAATATAATTAAAAATCCAGCAACGAGTTGCATAACTTTCTTGGCTGTTATGAGTTTTTATTTTTTAAAAATTATAACATTAAGCAAAATAAATAAAATTGTGTGTTGCGCCTTCTGTTATGACATTTTGTTATAAAAAAATTTTTAATTACTATAAAATGGCAAAAAGCTTAATTCTGAGGGTAGGGATGAGTTTTATAACAAAGTGTAAATGTTAATTAATAACAAATAATCTTCGTTAACTACCCCTCTCGAGATACATGACCCGTCTTCCTACCCTCTCGACCTTTCATTCATTATAGATAATTCCCTATTAATTAATCACTTGTCCTATAACATATATGTATGTTATGGATCCATTTTATTTACTGTTATATATATATAACAGTTATTTTTATTGTTTTTGGATTCAGATCTCAAAACATGGAAATTTGCAAAAAACTCTGAGCTTGGAGGATCAAATTTCACACTTCCCATCCCATATTTTCCCTTGTTACATATATATAACAGCTGGAAAAGTATAAAATGGAATTTTTGACTGATTTTCAAAATTTTCACAAACTGCAAATTTTGCAGCAGGCAAAAAAATTAATGTTTAAAGCACTGGTTAAGATTAACAACAACTAAGTCTGATAACATGCAATTGTTGAGGCTGATGTGTTGAACTTAATACATTTTTGAAGATTTTTTAGCTATTGAAGTTATAAATGTCCTGATTACACTATATGAGTTTTTATAATGTATTTTAATTTGTAAGTTTTGTGACATGCTAATTTTATAAAATTAAACAACTGATTATAATGTGGATTCTACTGGTTTTTATTTTTTTATTTTTAGAATATATTTTTTGAATACTAAAAGACTAAATACTTTTGAATAGACTGAAAACATACAATCTGTATTCAAAAATATACTATTCATAAACTACTC